GCGCATCCCTTAGGAAGATCAACTCTCCCTCTGTCGGTAATCTTTAGTTCCCTGTAGTTCTGTCTGTGACGGGGCTCATTGCAGTTGCCTCCTTCCACAGTAGCGAGTCCATTGGTGATGTGGTGTTCAGATCTTATTTAGGCCGCAATACTGCTGCAGTTTCCTGTCATCTCAGGAGACACAAGGTCTTGGTAGGCTTCCCAGTTCCCTGGCTTGTACAAACTTCCTGCTCCTTCTTCCAAAATGTTCCTTGAACCTTAAGCACGAAAATTGTATTGCAGATGCATCCACTGGGGCTGGACACTCACCCGTGTGGCTCCCTGGATTTTGACCAGTTGTGGTTTTCTGTGATGGTCTCCACTGCTGCCAAGAGAAGCCTCTTTAATGAGGGAATGAGAGCTACACTTATCTGCGGGTACAGGGCAAATATTTGTTTTTATATGTTTGCTTGCCATATGAGATTCTTCAAGCTGGGAGTGAGTTTAGTGGACAAGGGCAGATACCACTTCAAAGTGACTGCTGACTGTTTTCAATTGTTGAAAGAGCAAAGCAGCAAGAAGCCAGAGACACAGGGAAGTGAGATTTTGCTCATCAGTAACAAATGCTTAGTACCTGCAGGCCAAGAAACAGCACAAGTCCCAGCAAATGACCATGTTTGTCCATATTTGGACACCTAATTTAGACAACCCTAGAATTATGAGTCCCAAGCTTTCCCAGAAATCTCAATCACTGGGTTTTCATTTTGCTTTACATGGAAGGTCACTAACACAAAACATCTGGAGAACCTGCCTAGGCTTTTGCTGGGTTTTGTTGGTTTGTAGAAACCGCACTGGCTTGAGTTTGTAGTTAGCATGGCTGTGACCCATCGCCTGCGTCCGAGGTCCGAGCAATCTTGGTGTGGTGACAGTTCGATGCTCCCACAGCTTCCGGCTATCCTTTGGACTCTTCCTGCCAAATGAAAAGTACAGACATGTGCTCTGATGAAGTCCCAAAACACTGGCTCTAAAAACAAAAATCAAGAAACATATTCTTGAAAGGTTTTGGTCAAAAACACTTTTTCTATTGATCCAAATATACTATATTTTATTAGTATAAACAATGAGAAAAATACTTTTCCACTTTTCTGTGAGTGCTGCTCAGACACAGATTGTCCAGGCATGGCCTGCTGCCCTGCTCTGCTGCCTCACCTCTCTCCTGCACTCATTCCTTCTTTAATAGGGTTGAAAGTAGAGTTACAGAAACCAAGCTGGAAACTTCCCTTGATCTTGTATGTAAACAAATCAACATCAACCATCACATAGGCCATAGCAGTGCACCATGGGAAATTCAGGTGTCTGGGGAAAGGAGTCCATTTATAAGCATCCACATTTTTTTCAACATTCATTTTTTATAAACTATGTTGAATTCATTTGCACATTTTTGAATCTTCATGATTAGTAAGAAATGATGGATCCTTCAAAATCCATCCCAACACACAAGTTTGTTGAGATAGTACATCTAAAACCTCTTCTCTAGGGATTCCAGCTCTAAAGACAATTCCAGACTGAACAAGCTGACTGAGCAAGCACTACCATAGCACACTGAAAAGGGACTAACCCAATCCAAAGCAAATAACTCCTTTCCCTCCACATTCCTGAGCGGCTAGGCATGTTCTTCCTACTCTTAGATGCCTATAATTCCTGGTCATGGAGTCAATTATGACATGTAGGAGCCAATAGGCTGAGGTTTTCCTTTACGAACAGCCCTTCTGAAATGGGAGCAACACATGTGGCGGTCATTGCTGGCAGCTTCCTGTGTTCTCATTCTCTGCTGGTCATGGTGAGTTTTAGACACTTCTCTAATTTTTTCCAAGAGGTGTCATGGAGAAGTGGCGTGCCTCACTGAGGATCCCTTATGGTCCGTGTGTCACTGATACGGTTTGAATGTAAAATATCCCCTCAGGCTCCATCATGTTTTGAAAGCTTGGTCCTGAGTTTGTGACTCTATTTTGATGACAGTGGCACCATTGGAAAGTTGACCCAGGCTGTAGACATGAGTTGCTAAGGGTGGACTTTGTATGTTAAGCTTAGCTGCAATTCTGGTTCAGTTTTCTTCCCGGAACACTGCCACATGAAGTGTCTATCCCATATTCTCCCACCACTGTGAATGTCACCACAGACAACTGCTATGTGACCATGCCTTCTTTGCCACGAGAACCTGAAAGCTCTCAGAACCAAATATATTCTTCCCCCAATAAGTTGCTTTTGTTAGACATTTTGTCTCAGAGATGAAAAGTAACGACCACAGTCACCCCAGCTTCGGCACCTGGCAGAGAGCCTAACATACAGCAGGTGTTTGATATTGATGTTAAGATGAGTGGGAACCAACAGAGGACTCCATTGTGCCCGTTTCCTTACTTTGAGCTTCTCTTCAGCCCCCACAGTCTTGCCTCACCCAGATGTTTCCCATTCATAGCTTCTCCGTTGGCCTTTTCTGATCTGGGATCCTCCCTCACTGGTCTTTCTATCCAGGAAATCCTTCTCCCTTGTAGAGATATTGGCTTGGTCCTCATTGGTCTCCTATCTCCCATCTTTCTACCCATATTTCACCCTAAAGGGAAATTCTACTCAAGGTGCGACTTCCTCTTGCACCATGGAGATTATAATAAGAACACATTGATCTTATGACATTTTTATCATTTATGTAGTTGTCATTTTTCTAGTCCAAATGAAAAGTAAGCTTATTGAGAAAGGCCAAAGGATCTTGTGTTTTATCTGTAATAAAAAATGTATGTAGTCCATTTTCTGTTGCTAAAAACAAAATGATACAGATAAGTTAGAAAAGAGGCTTGTTTTGACCCATGGTTCTTATCCAAGGTCAAGAAGCTCAGAAACAGCCTTCTTGCTTGCAGCCCTGAGGTAATGGTAGAATAGGGTGGTGTGTATAGCCAACTTGCCAAGCTGGCTTTTCAGAAAAACCCACCCTGAGATAACTCACTAACTGAATAGATCAGTCCATTCATGAGGGCATAGCTCTACCTCCATCCTGCCTATTAGTGTTCCACAGCAGGGATTACGTTTCAGCATGAGACAGGCCATGTTCACACGATGGAAGAGGTTAACTATTAATGTGGTATTTTACAGATGGTTGTGACTCTCCAAATAATGGCAAAACCTTAAAAATACTGGAATCGTGCTTAAATATGAATGTGCTAGCAATTAAGGGAATTAAGTTGTTACCTTGTTTTTCCACAGACAGAGGCTTTTTAGAAGTGGGATTTAGTAAGTTTTGATGTTTTCCTCTCTTAAAACATTAATCTATCAAGTATAAACACATTCATTTAGGCAAGTATTGCAAAAGTTTCCTAATTTTTTCCAATAGTGTGCAAAGAAAAAGAATTTCTATTGTGTTAGGTTTTTTTCTTCCTTTCAACCTCTTCTGATTTTTTTTCCTTCTGAACCTTCCCTACCCTCCACACATGCACACATGCACACATGCACAGATTCACAAACCCTCCCACCCTCCACACATGCACAGATTCACAAACCCTCCCACCCTCCACACATGCACACAGATTTACAAACTCTCTCACCCTTCACACATGCATGAAGATTTATAAGCCCTCTACACATGTGCACAGATGCTCATTGTATAATAGAAGGTTCAACGGTCAAAATTATATGATTTATGGCTGCAAATCTATTTTTTTGCAATTTTCTGCTTTAAAGGCCAGCTCCAAAACCTCCATTCCTCCTCCGGAGCACTCACTGTGGTAATACTGTAAGTCTCCGTTCTCATCCTGGGAACCTCATTTTTATTTGATTTCGTTGGCGCCGCTCTATTGGAACGTGTATCGCTCGGCCCCTGCAGAGCACTGAGCAGGTGTGAGGGAAGCAAAGCATCTTTTGTTAATAGACGTTCACCCTGGGAGCTCATGAAAACACTGTCATTCCAATTGCTTTTATGAAAATTCTGTAAATTCCCATGTTGTGAATTTCTAGCGGAGCCCAGGAGAGTAAGCGTCCTTAGCACAAGCCAAAGATATGGTTGTTGCTATGACTGCAATAAACACTCAGCTTGCTTTCTCACAAAAATAAATTCAGATATTTAATTTGAATATCAAAACCATAGAAGAATCATATTAGCATTGAGTTTGGCTCTTCTAGCTGAAATGGAGTTAACTCTCAGTGAGATCAGCCCACAGGAAAATGATAACTGGACAACTTCTCAAAGCATGAAGACAACTTAACCATCCGTTACCTGGTTCCAAAGTGCTGCACAATGGCACAGCCCACATCAGCCCAAGTCACATGCTCACATCTCAAAACCAAGAGAATGTGGACAGTTCCCTTAACCTTGTAGTAGAAGAGTATGATATATTAGTCGTCTATGTCTTCCTAGGCCCCTTGGATCTGCTGTCACAGAGGACCTGGGGAAGGCCAAGTCATATTTTTACCCTGGGTTAGGGCCAGACATACATGGTGGTACACTCTGTTGAGTTGGAAGGAAAGACATAGCTTGGTATTTTACAGAATTGTATGTGTCATTAGAAAAAGATTCCAAAATGCTTTATTTAAAACTTTGTTTTCTCAGGTTGTGTTACCCAAGTGTATCTTGGCATAGACAACTTCAGATTCAAAAATTCCAAGACGTACAGCGAGTTTCACATAGCCGAGGCTATTACATTTGGTTGTCCGCCACTAACACCTTTCTCCTTTCTTGCTCACTGAGGAGTGAATTGATGACTGAATTTCCACTAAAAAATGTCACTCTCTTCTTGCAACCTACAGAGTCTGTTCCTGACAGACTCACCTGCTTGCTCCAGAATGGAAAAACACAGAGTTCAGAGTGGAGTGGGACCACTGGGGTTTTTTAGATAAGGCCATTAGAGTCGAATGGTTGCCTTTCCGGGAACAACTTTCAGAAGAACGATCTAGCAGGCTGCTCTGAAAAACTTGCCAAATTGCTCATACTTGGCTAAAAAACCACTAGCTCTTCAGAGGCGTATCTTTCCTCCACAGAGCAATTGAGGCTGTATCTATAAGAGCTGAGGAAACTCCCTTTCTGTCCTTGGAAGTTTTCAGGATGAAGAGGAACTCTTGTAAGGGACAAGTGACAGCTGACAGCCTGCCATCTTCACATGCACTCAGCCATGCTGAAGTGAAGGTAACTCCAAGAAGATACAGCCTTTGCAAAGAGCTCTTGTAGCTTCCTGTGCTGTGTGGGAGCTGGGCAGAGAGCTAACCAGGCCTTGGTTATTTTTCCCCCATGGACCCACATAGGGGAACTTCTGTACTTTTTTAAGTGTAAAAGTTTGGTTGTCTGTTGAATTTTCCATACCCCTGAACTTGTCTGGAAATACAGTCCTGAGGGAAGAGCCCAAGTCTGGTCATTCCATGAAGATTCTAGTCCTTGCCAATTACCTGAGCTAGTGGACATAGACCAGACTGGCCTGAGAACAGCTGCCTGTCCCCGGTAATATTATCTTGTTTGTACAGTTACATTACCTCAGCCTTTCGTTGTTTCTACAAGCAGTATTGGGATTTAATTTGGGACCCTTAGGCATATGGGTAAGAATTTAGCTATAAACTACTGAGAATAAGAAAGATGATGTCTGACAATCAGTGATCTGGGAAAATCACTAGAGCAAGAGAGGCCATGTGGTTCTCACAGCTGCTTAAAACCTCCCCACCTAAGTGGGCCAGGTGTGGCGATGGTGCACACCTGGAATTCGAGCAGGACAGTAAGTTCAAAGCCACCTAGGTTGCACAGGGATACCCTAGTGTGCCTCAAAACACAAAGCAAGACCAGGTGAGAAGGATCGAGGTTAAGAGCACATTCTGCTCTTGCAGAGGACTCAAGTTTGGTTTCCAGCACCCACGTCCAGCGTCTCATGACTGTAACTTCAGCTCCAGGGTATCTAATGCCTCTGCTCTCCAAGGGCACCTGCATTCAAACATGCATGCATGCAAGCACACAGACTTAAAATAATAAAAACAAATCTTAAAACAACAACAACAGAGAACAAGACAAAAGGACCCTACTACTTTAACTGACCTCAAGTAACTGTTGTTGAAAGATAACAATAAAATGGTGTGGTTCCTACATGGTAAGCATAATGATGGGGGAGGGGTTGCTGAAAGCTGTTGCCAGGTCCAGAGGTGCCTTACAAGAGTTTTGCCTAAGTCACTAGCTCACTTTTTTCTTCACAGGCAGCTGATGAACCAGAAGACCAGCATGTCTGAGCAAGGAAAGATTCACTGTGCAGATGCCCTGCATAGCTCCTGTGACTGCAGGTAAGCCATCTTTACTTTCAGAGCAAAGCACTGGCCATCACTAGCTGTTTGTGCCTAGCACAGAATCTCTTTGAACATCTATGCTGCTAATTATGGCTGTCCCATCTGTATTTCCCACCCAGGCAGGTCATTGGAAGAGGGAAGCAAGGACCTGGTGAATTCCATGATGAGTGTTCTGGAACTCTGGAAGGGAATCAGAAAGCCGGGGCTTTAAAAAGGACACCCACACAGAACAGGAAAGCTAAGACCAGAGCTGGCTCCACCTGCTACCAAGGAAAGGAAGACACTAGCCGTGATGTCTTTTTTCTCCAGCAGCTCAGCAGCAGGAAACAGCATCGCTGCCCCCTATCCTAGACCCGGGAGGAGCTGGTGTTCTTTAGCTGTGCCCTTACAATGCCCTCTTGGTGCCTGCCTCTCTGTCCATGGCTACGGAAATGCCAGTGCCTATATTTGTATGAAATATGTGAATGCAGTGGTTTGGATGAGTTGACCCACAGTCATGTCCCAGTTATTACATAGCTAGGTGTGTTAGACACCTTGTATTTGTAGTAATGTCTATTCTGTTATACATGCCAGTGCTTCTCCAGAGTCTATAACTGTTGAATATACGGGATCATTGTTCTCAGTTATCACCTGAGCACCCAAATTCTTAGACAATAAACCTGTGGTGGTCTCCAAAATTAACATGGAGAAGAGAAGAGAGATTTTGTGGTGTTTGTCAAAGCACAGATTCCCAGGCCACACTTCCAGAAACCCTGAGTTAGTGGGTCTGGGAGGAACTGAGGACTCTAAGCTGTTCATTTGTACCGGAGGCGATCATGACAGTTGTGGGAGGGACATAGCAGTAACTATCCTAAACACACCCCTTTACCACACCCCATTATTTAAATGCCAGTCTCTCAGTTGCCTGTTCCCCATCTTCAAATTTAGTGAAATGGATTCCTGAGCCCCAGCCATGGATCTTAGTTGTCATCATATCTCATAGCTCAAGAATCACCTCCCACAAGACAGATCCCTGTCTTTGCTATGGCAAAGTCATTTACTTTCTCCATTGGCTTTACCATTTCATCACTTGGCACTAAAGTTGGTACCCTAGATGCTTCTGCATATAGAATGAATGCACGCACAGTTGTTATTTCTTCTGAAAAATGTCTTTCAGTTCTAAAACAGGAATCCATACTTAACTTGTCCTTAGGAAAAGACTCCCCTAGATCTCCCCACACCTCTCAGATAGTGCAAGTCACTCTTGGTCCCTAGTAGATGGGTGCTAGAATTTTCTTGGGGTGTGGTAGGATCAAAAGGTTCAGGTTCCAGATGGCCTCCTTGGACCCCAAGCTGGGGGAGGGCTACTTTTCTTTACATCAGTTCATTCCTCTTCTTTCAAAAATTCTTGGGTTTGCCCCACTGCTTTGATTTTCAGTGTCTCCACCTGTTTTGTGGGATCAAGGTTTTCTTAGTTCTCTGGCTCCTAAGCTTGGGATCAGCCGTAAATACCTTCCCACTCACGGATCCTGAAGCAAGCCACAATCCTTTAATCCTTTTGAAGTTGGAAACAGCTGGAAACAGGCTGACTGTAGAAAGAGCAAATGGAGACCAGTGGGTATTAAGTCTCTTGGGCTACTTTGTTCCATCAGGCATTTGGCCACATGATTATGGCTGATGCTTCCTGGATGTCCTGTATTCTGGGAAGCCCCTCCCAGGTCCACCTCCTCGAATCCCAGGGCTCATCCTGGGTTTCTTTCTCTCTCTCCCCCAAAGACCTTCTTCCTCCTATGTTATTTTGATATTGACTCTATTTCATCCCTCCTCCTCAGAAGAGAAGGAAACTGGGAAGATATTAGTGATGGACCCCAAGTATCCCAAGAAAGCTTCCAGCAGACATAGACTGTTCCCTTCAGAGTCAACCTTTTGTTTTAAACAGGCAGAAAGCCACTTGCTCTTCCTTGCAGGAGCAAGAGCTGCTAGGGAAGGGTATCAGGGCAGGGTTCTGGGGCAGGAGAGAAATGGCCGATGATGACCCAACCCAGAATGCCATCAGGAAGCTTCATGGTGCTCAGATTGCTTTCCTTTCCTTCCACTTTGCCTTCAAGAAATGATCTCATAGCCAGCACCGCTGAGTTCATATCCCTGCCTGTGCTTGAGGAGGCTGTTTACCTGATGCAAGGGCTCACCTTGAGCCCAGGAGTAAGCATGCATCTTCCAGGAGCCAGGGCAGCCTCAGAGTCGGCATTTGAAAGGCAAGTCAGTGGAGAAGGGCCCTGTGCAGCCTTAGGATCTGTGACCTCCTCATATGACCCTGCCAGCCACAGTTCCTGTGCTTATGTTTCTTCATCTTAAACCCGGGGCATTACAAAACAACCTGAAAAACGATCACTTTGAGGATTAGTAGGCTAACCCATATATACTAAAACCAGTGCTCCCCACATAGGGACACTTCACTCTATACCCTGATAACTCATCTAGCCCATATAAACCAGTGCTCCCCATATACATACAGTTCAGTCTATACCCTGATAACTCATCTAAAAACCAGTGCTCCCCACATACAGACAGTTCAGTCTATACCCTCATAGTTCATCCTACTGTTGTACTTCCATCCTCCTGACCTCCTTATTCACTTCTTAGTTCCCTAAAGATTCATAATGGTTTAATTCAAATCTTAACTCACCTTCAGGCAGCCAAAGACAAAGAATTTCAACCAGCTTTGATCCCTTCAGTTAAACTAAAATGTAAATCAAGTCATACATCGATGATTGATGAGAATATGATTAGTAGTATCAGAAATTTGACTTTTCTCTAGGTTGAAGACCTCGGTATAGCAGGATCAGAGTATGACCGTCAGTAACTAGAGAAGACAATCTGAAGACTGCATTTGCCACCATGAATGGCATTTTTACAAAAGAAAACTTTTCTGTCTGCAGGGTAGGCATCTGAGGGAATTGGGCTAGCCTTGGTGGCTTTTACTTGGTGGCCAGAGCACCACCATCCCCTACCTTCATCACTGCCCCGGTCCTCCCCGCCAGCTCTGCTGTCCGGAGCACTTGGCCAGCACAACGAGGCTCTTGAGGTTATTGTTCCAGGAACCAAGTTTGTTTTCACACTGCTCTGGTTGCATTAGCTTTATAGTGTAAAATGGCCTGCTCCAACCTTATTTTTGCTTTAGTTCACTTGAATGTAAGTGTTGAAAGACTTGGCTTTCTTTTTAAAGAAGTCTTTAAGCAGAAGCACTTGAATGATCGTTAAGATTTGAAGACATATTTTACTGTTTCTATATTGTCTCTGTTATTGTTTAGTGTTAATACTGCAAGGGAAACCTAGGCACTCATTTGTTTGGAGATGAGGGCTCTAATAACCTTGTACCATGGGCAGCACTGAACCAGGGTTACATCTTTTTTAAGAAAAATTGATGACCCTGTACAGACTTCAGTTTCTACACATTTTAGTTACTGGGCTTTTCATCACTGTAACTTATACCTGAGGCTCTCAGCTTATGAAGACAAGAAAGCTGTTTTGGTTTCCAGTCTTGGGCATTTCAGTCCATCAAATGATCAGCCTGCCTCACCAGGCCTGTGGCAAGGCAGAGAGATTATCATAGGATGAGGGATGTGTAGACCCTGTGGCCAGAAAGAGAAGAAACAACCAGGTTCTCATAATCTGCTTCAGGATACCACCCAATAACCTAGCTTCTTTAGGGTCTACCTTTGAAGGTTAACTCCCTCCCAACCCCTCACATTAAAAATACAGGCTTTCAATAGACATCTAAGATGCAAATGATAGCAATGTTGATACTCTGTTGTTTTATTCTTAGAACCTGTCCGTTCAGACCCTGTCTCTCCCTGTACCTCCGTGACTGCTTCATTTTCACTGTCATCAACGTGACATATCATGCCAAGAAAACAAAGAGTAAGTTATATTCCTTGAGAAGGGAGTGGCGAAAGAATATCATACCATGACTTTTGAAAACTTACTTAGATGTTTACTTGCTCTGAGAAGTCACACATAAAGCCTACCTTACCTTAGGGTGTATTCTGTCCAAATGGTGACATATAAGAAACAAAATAAAATAACAACAGGAAATACCCCAGTTGGCATTTGTGTAGAATGTGATTATGAAATATAGACATTATTTTGAAATTTTAGAATATTAGAATATTATTATAAAATACAGACAAAGCAATCCTTGTCTCAGCAGCCATTTACACTCACCATGTTCTCTCTCCACACACACTACACATAAATATATTAATATATATGTTTTATGACATATATTACAAATAAGAGTAAAAACTAATTAGCTAATGTAAAAATGCTGTCAAATAATTTTCCAAGTATTTCGGCAGTATTTACTCCTTACCTCTCAAATCTTCTCCTAGAAGATCAGTAGTCTTATTGTGTCCGTTTTTAAAATATACTATTAGTAACTATTGCTGTGTATGTGGCCGCACATGTGGAGGTTAGAGAATAACACTGTTGGGTTGTTCTCCTTTACCAGGGAAGGCACTGTGCTTGTGCCACAAGCGCTTAACACACTGAGCCATTTTGCCAGTTCCATTTTTAAAAACTTTTCTTAGTGTATGACTTTGTTTGTGGCATGCCTGTGTATGTGTGTGTCTGCATGTGTGTAGTGCGTGGGTGTGCCCATGTAGGCCAGTAGCAGACCTTGGGTGTCTTCCCTGATCCCTCTCCATTCTGTTAGTTGAGGCAGGGTCTGTCACTTGAACCCAAAGCTTGCCTCTCTGGCTAGTCTAGGTACCCAGCTTGCTCCTCCAGGGACAGCCTGGCTTTGCCTCTCCAGCACTGGGATCACAGGCAGTGCCCCATGGCTGACCTGCACTTACATGTGTCCTAGGGATCTGAACACTGGTCTTCACAGTTGTTTGGCAAGTATTTTACCCACTAAGCCATCTTCCCCATTCTAGATTCAGTTTTCAGAAAGGAAACTGAGGTACCACTGAGCTAATCGGCTGAAGGTCACACTGCTAGTTTGTTGTGGAGACAACATAACTCTGAAGGCCAAACATGTGACTCAGTGCGTGGAGAGTCATTGTGCTTTCTTGACACCATGTTCTCTTACAGCGGAAGGAATATCTCTACTTTATAATAAAGATCTGGGGCTCAGAGGGACGAGGACCTTTGTCCTAAATTGTGAATGTTCAATGGCAAAACAGCTCAAACTGAAAATGGGCACCTGGCCTGGGGGCCCCCAAATTCTACATCTTTTTTTTTTCTTGTCTAGGCTCCAAAATCCTTATTATATCTTTTGCCCTGGGACTATATTTGAAGACTCTGTTAGAAAGATCTCAGTAATTTGTATTTGCTTTTTTTAATCTTATAGTTGAATATTTATCACTTATTTCTGAATTGCATTTAGAAATAAGAACATCTAATTTAGACCAGAAGCCTTTTTTACTGAAGACCCAAATCTAAAAGACTTCTTAAAGTCTTCCAATGTGTAAGCACATTCTTTGATTTCTATTTTAAAGTTCTACTGAATGAACATGGCAGAAGACTGGCAGTTTTTGACAGCTTTGAGATTACTTCCAATTTCTCTTTTAACATTCCCCAGGGAAGATCAAACAATTAAAAATGGGAAGGAAAGCTAAGATCAAATGCAAGAGAGCAGGCTGGCTCGCCAGCACCTGTACCATTCAAAGGCTTGAACAGAGGAGCACACTGTTTAAATTAAGTCATGGCTTTCAGTCCTCAACCAGAACAGGCCAAATGTGCCTGAAGGAGGAAGGGCTGCTTTTGACTCACCCAGTCTGTAATTGTGATACACCAGGGCAGAGTTAACCAGAACTAGTAAAGGCAGATTATGCGTTCTACCCTGACAGCAGCAGCCCCTGTTTTGTGTTTGACAATCTCCTCAGCTGTTCACCCCTGGCCACAGTGAGAAGGGTCAGGGTGGAGCTTATTGGAGAAACAAGTTAGTAACATCTTCTGGAAGAACTGTTCTCAGAAAAAGAGACATCCTGGTTATAGAAAGAAAAGGGACCACATGCAATCCTCCAGGATAGGAGATCCACCCTAGGTAGACACTTCACTTAGGCATAAGTTAAATTGTATTCTGTATTAGTTTTAGTTAAACTCCTGGATAGAAGGCCAACACCCAGGTCCCCTTCCTAGGTCAGGGCCCACCACCCAAGTGATGTGGAATGAACCCTTCTCTGTCTTGCTTGGAAAAGTCAGCAAAAGTGTGCCCTCGATCCAGTGGTGACCTTCAGCCAGTGAGCAATACTAGACAAGAAGTCTCTTGCTTGAAGCTGGGACAAGGCTGTACTGTGGTGAGACTAGACTAGACTATTTCATCGTTGAAGTTGAAAACATACCCAGCTTTTTTCATGCTACATTCCCAATTCCTTCGGGGAATTTTTCCTATAAGTGCTAGCCCCTACATCACAATAAAACACCCCCTAACTCTGCCTGCTTTACAGAAGTGCAGCCTAAGAGAGTATACTGAGTAAAGCCTTGTCTGTTGTCTTGTTTTATAATTTTCAAATTAGATTCCAGAAAGTACTGGGCCAGAGAGTTGAAGGCTGTTGATATGTACTCCCAGGTTTTCTTTAGGGGTCAGTCCAACTGTGCAGCTTCCAGCAATGATGAGAACATACAGCAAAGCAAGCAGGCCCAGAAGCCTTCATTAGTGTGACCTTATGAGTGTCGCCATTGCTGCACTTATTTGTGTACCGTGAACCCCTCCACTGGTCAAGTTTGCCCTTGTGCTTGTCTCCGAGTCACACATCTCTCGTTTCCAATGGGTTTCCAATCTGAGAAGGACATCATGTGCCAGGTTTCCAGAAATTTCAACACCACAAGATTGACCTCAATGTGTGTGAGGGCTTTTTAGTTCCATGCAAGACAATTCCAAGTTTGAAAACTGGGCAGAGTCGGGACTGTTTTCCTGTGTAGAAAGGTTAACAAAAAGCAGATGTGGGTGTCTTTCTCCAATCTGGATTATTTGTCAGGGAATGTTAACTCTTCAAAACACACACACACACACACACACACACACACACACACACACACACACAGAGAGAGAGAGAGAGAGAGAGAGAGAGAGAGAGAGAGAGAGAAATAACAGGCATTAAACTTACTTTTTATGTCTTCTTATTAATAAAAACAAATGTCCTGTATAAACAGACGAAGAATAACAAAGACAAATGACCTCTTGGCCACAATCCCCTGCTTCATAGCAAAGTTTCCTCACTCTTTACCTTGCTTCCTTCTTCTCTTTCTCACCCACTAGGTACTTGAAGGTCCTTTTGTGTCTTTGCTTATTCCTCCTTTATATTCATCTTTGGTCTTTTTTTTTTTAAGGTAACTATCCAGGGTAGCTCAAGAAACTGAGGCAGGAGGAGTTTGATGCAGACAAAGACTGGGAAATTTCTAAAATAATAAATAAGCAAAAGCCGATGTGTTGGGGTAGTTTTTCTAGATCTTTTTGTTTCACTTGGGAGTGTGAGACTCTTCAGGGTTCCTCACAAATCAAATATGGTAGCACTGATGTTCTGAGGAAGAACATTCAGGATTGGCAAAACAGACGTCACCATACAATTTCCCCACAACCTATAATCATAGCTTGTTTGTCAAAGATCTTGACTTTGAAAATTTAGAGAGATAAAAAAAGTATAGTATATGTATCTAACCTCTGCCAATACCTAAAACTGAAATATTTCAGCATCAAACCTCTAAGTCATTCTTCATTGTGCTTTATTTTATTGCATATTGACTGGACATATTAGTAGGATTCAAAGTTATTTCCTCATGTGCATACATGATGCACATATCAAATCCATCCACTTTGATTTCCTCTATCCTCATACCACATCTGTCTCCTAATTCCTAATCACCTTTTAGGTCAACCTTTTGTATTTGTTTACATAGCTCAACACATGAAAGAGAATGCTGTAATTTGGGTTTTGGTCTTTGGTCTGGCTTAGTCTACTAAAAACAAGGTCCTCCAATTTCACCCATTTTGCTGAAAATGACAGGATTTCAAATTCTTTTTTTTTTTTGCAGCCCATCTTTTAAAGAGGACTTTGTGTGTGTGTGTGTGTGTGTGTGTGTGTGTGTGTGTGTGTGTGTGTGTTCATGTGTATTAGTGCAGTGGGTTCCCTTGGTTGATGCAAGAAGACATTGTATCCCCTGAAGCTTGAGTTACAGATTGTTGTGAGCCTGCCATGTGGGTGCTGGGAACTGAACTCTGGTCCTCTGGAAGAGCAACATGTTCTCTTAACTGCTGAGCCATCTCTCTGGCTCTAGGGACTTCAATTTCTTTATGGCTAAATAGTGCTATACTGTGTTTACAGGCAGCAGTTTTTTTGTGCATTCATCTCTTAAGAACACCTAAGGCAATTCCGTATCTCAGCTGCTGTGAATAGTACAATAGTAAACAAGGATTTCAGCTGTCTCTTTGGTGTTCTTATTTCATTTTCTTTGATTGTATACTGTGATCAAATCTGTAGAGTGACATAAGAGATTTGTCAACTATTCATTTGACCGAGTTAATATCCAGAATACACAGAATTCAATGTGACACTTCCACAGAATATAAAAAGAACATAAAAACACTTTAAAATGAAAAAACAAAACAAAAAAAAACCAGGCAACCCAATTAAAAATTTCTAAAGGATGTGAGTAGACACTAGTCAAAAGAAGAAATATAAAGACCTGGAAATAAATGAAAAAATAACCCAATAGCATTGACCATTACACAAATGCAAATTAAAACTACAGTGAGGTCTCACTGAATCCCAGTTAGGATGGGTACTGTTAAAAATTCTGAAGATGCAGAGGAAAGGAACTGTGAACACTTTAATTTGTTGCAGCCCCTGATGCTCTGTTGCCATCAATCCCAGACTTCTTTACCTTTTTGTTTCTTGATGCTCTTCCGACATGAGAGAGGTGTGTCTTCTCTCATCTGGGCTCCCACCTCCATGCTCCCATCAATCCACTCCTCTTCAGAGAGCAGCCTCTTCAGCCTAGGATTGTTCCAGTGTCGTCTCTGCTCCTCTTAGCTGTACAGTCACCACTACCAAGGTAAAACTGACTTTCCTGTGACAAGCATGACTACATGTATTCATATATAGACTTCAGATGCCTGACAAATGCTTAGAGAATGCGGGGATGCTCTGTGCGTGGGTTTCCCTATACAAATGGTCATGGCCAGCATGGTTTGTGAGAAATGCTGAGTTAATAGTGAGGAGCCATGGCTTCCTAGAGAGACCATTCCACTATAAATAGGTTTTCTGGAAGAAATGTCTTGTTTGGTTTGAGATAGGAAAGACAGGGGGAAATTAGCTCAGCTAGTAAGTTGAGGAAAATATTTTAGGGAAAAAAGTGGTGTCTGAGAGGCACAGAAGCATCGCTCACACAGTTCATTCATGGATGGCAGTCAGGTCAGCGCTGAACAGGAAAATATGCTTCCTAAACAGTAATCAAAAATAAGCAGAGACATTCTAAGAACCTCCATCCTTTCAAACTTTGGTTCCTTGGCTTCCAGTTAAGTATCACAGCTAAAGTTAATACAAACAATTCTATTGTAGAAGTAAGGCCTGACTACTAGCCTAGCCTGAGATATGTGTTATGGTTGTATAAAAAAGCCTCTGTCCCACAAGGCCCATACATTAAAGGTTTAGTCTCCAGCTACCAGATTTAATCACTGAGAAATAACTGTATAATAAGAGCACTGATTTCATCAGTTTTGTAGGAGGTTCAAAGAAGTTGGTCCCTGGGAGGGTGTATCTTGCTCTGATTCCTTCCATTCTGTCTTTCTGCTTCCTGTGCCCCATGAGATGTGCTACTTTGTATCACCATACACACCCACCACAATGTTCTGCCTCACCATGGCCCAACATTGATGAACCAAGTGGCTGTGAACAAAGACCTTCAAAACCATCAGCTACAATAGGGTTTTTCTCTTTTACACCATCAATATCTGTCACAGTGATGAAAGTCCTGAGTGTTGCTCTTCGTCTGAACATTTTGTATGGTATTATGCACATGCTCAGTATGTCATGCGACTTTCTTTGGGAGTCGGGGCAAGAGGAGATTGTGGAGCAGTAACACAAGGTAGGGCGTTTGCTTGCTTTTCTAGAATATCCATCCCATGTTGCATCTTTACTTTCTTAGCCAGAAATGTAAAAATAAGAGGAAGAGTTTACAAAAGGAGGAAAGATTGGACAAGGCTTGCTCATTTACTCTTGATGAGATAAGAACTATTTTACCCAAAACATTTAAGAGTTGTTTTGTGGAAGTTGTAACTTAATCAAATCTGATTCCCCCAAATCTCTTCTTGGCAACCATTCCACAAGTATAAAATATAAGCAAAAAAATCTCTTTTCAAACTCTCTAACAGAATTTTCTTCAACAGTGTTTGGGAAACACTACTGAAATCTGTTTTGTAAGCAGACTATATGATATTTTTACATTTTCCCTCTGAAAACAGTCTCAGAAATGAAGTCAGAAAGAAAAGGATCCATTTTAGTACTAGTGTGTCTTCCTTGTAGCTAGATTTTAGTTACAACCACCTGAAATACACATAGCACAAACTGACTTTACTATTCATCTTTTAAATTTTCAACTATTATCAGCCAAGCATAACAGGCACTGATGGAAAGCATTCATTTTGAAAATCTGAGATAATTTCTGGTTTCCTTGGTATTCTGAAACTGTAGTCTCCAGATTCTTTAGGCAAATATTCCTTCTCTTTGCTTGTTTGGTTTTGTTAGTTTATTTTTTTTTTTCTGGTACTGGGATTGAACCAAGAATCTCATGTGTGCTAGCTAAGTGCCCTACCACTGAGCCATATACACAGCTCCAAACATCTCTTCTTTTGAAGTGATCATGAACTTCGGGTAGAATAGAATTCTGTTGTTAACACTCACATCTATAGTGGGTTGGTCTGGTGTTGCTATGTATTCAAATGCTAAAATACTGCATCCCAAGACAATACCCCAAGACAAGCAGACCTTCACACATACCTGCTTTGGTTGTATACATGTTGCTCCCCAAGTTATTCCTGATTGGTTAATAAAGATGCCTACAGCCTGGACTGTGCAGAAGCAAGTTGGCAGAGTGAAGGTTCCCAGGCTTGGGGTCTCAGCCAGGAACCACAAGGGAAGAAAGAGAGAGGAGAGAGAGAAGGAAGCCACAATGGGGGTAGGTGGATCGTAAACACATGACTATGAGATCCGGTCTGTTGGAGTAGCAGCGGCCCAGGTAGAACACAAGTGGTTTCTTGGGGTTATTGACAGGGAAGTAGACAAAATAGCACAGAGGGTTGATATCTGCCCAGATCTAGATCTAGTTCTTTATGGCTTATAAATATAAAGGTTTTATGTCTTTTATTTGGGAACGAAGTGACCTAAGGTGGGGTAGAAACCCCCAAATAATATTTACCGGAACTCATATTCTCTCAGGGTAAGGCAAGGTTTCTAGGACTTCCCACCAAGCACCTTCAAGAGGCTGTGAGTAGTTCTCATAGATAGGTGAACATGATTTTGGATGCTTAGCAGAAAATAACTGATCTTGTTTGTCCTGCCAAATTCCTTGCTGTGAATTCCATGTTGCTGGAACACGATTAAATGCACATTCTTATTGATTTTCCCTCCTCATTTGTTCAGAAGAATTTTGAAAGGACTTCAAAGATATTGGTTTTGGTTGTAGCCTTGAAGGCTTGAGAAAACAGCTGTTTCTTTCACTTCACCTTTAACCACAAGTCATGCACAAACACAGGGTAGCAGTAAGTTCTTAGGGGCAATCATACTGTGTGGAAGCAGTACTGAAGTAGAACACTTGGATCTCTGGAAAAAGTTAGTGTGATAACATCAGCTAAGACATCCTCATGACCTCATGAGCATAGGATCCATGAGATAACAGGTCTGGATTAGCTTCTCAGTAGCCTCTCAGATAAATCTTTGGCAGCAAGCTGAGGGCACTGCTTCCTCAGAAGTCCCCCAGAGTTGTAAAGATTTGTTCTCCAGTGATAGCAAAACCATGGATTAAAGAGTACAGTTCAGGGTAGTGTTCTCACCTTGCATGTTCAATCCCTGCACCACCAAAAGGAGTAAAACACAAAGGCTCCTCTATGCAAATCTTCTCATCCGTTAAAGTTTCTCCTTTAAGTTGTTTTTTTTTTAATTTTAATTTTATTTTATGTGTGAGAGTATTTTGCCTGCATGTATATCTGTTCATCACATGCATACCGAGTGCCTATGGAGGCCGGAAAGGAGTGTTGGATTCCCTAGAACTAGAGTTAGAGATAATGTGAGCTGCCAAGTATATCCTGGGTATTGAATCCGGTTCCTACGGAAGGGTAGTCGGATCTAAGCCAACCACTGAGCTATCTCTCCAGCCCTAAAGTTTCTCCTTAAATAGTTCCAATAATATTATTTAGTATGCTTTTTCAGAGAATTACTTCATTTTGATGATGATTGTAATGTCTACCTACATAAAAATAAAGAGTGTGTAAGTTTTTATTACTCAGACAGCCTGCTCTGAGGAAGGTGAGCTGTGTTGTTTCTCTCTACCCGGACTTCATCTTCACATGGAGGTATAAACAAACTTGGGTTTCAGCTACCATCTTTCATCTGCTGTGTCAAGGTTCCATCACTGAGATAGCTCATAAGGAGAGGGGCGTGGTTTGGGCTCACTTTTTTCTGTCTATGATCACTTGTCTCCATTGCCTTTGAGCTTGCGCGCACTACATGACTGTTTGAGCATGTGGCAGGGAAGCAGTGTATCTTACGGCATTGGTGAAGCTAACAGAGAAGGGATGGCTATAGCCCAGTAGCTCCTTCCAGAGCATGCCCACAGGGATCCTACTTCTTCCAATTGGGCTCTATTTCTTAAAGGTTCTACTACCCCTTACCTCTCAACAGTACTACAGCCTGGGAACCAAGTCTTTGGGGGACACATATTCTCAAACTACAACAGCTACTTTATAAAAATAAACGTAGTGCAGTCTTTTGAAGCCTGCTATGCTAGTTTTGAAGAGGAATAAACAACGCTGATGATGGCAGTTGGCCCATGATTCCTTATTTTCTCACTTTGTAGAGCCCAGTGAACAGGCTATCTGTTCAGCTTCTATGCTCAGGTTTAAGCATGCCAGCTTTTAACTAAACACTTGTATGAGATTTGAGATACTTTTATGACTCTTACTGTTAAGTAACTGTTGGCCTGAACTCCATTGTCAAACACTAGCATGCATAAAGACAAAAGAATGATTCTCCCAGTCTGTATACAAACGTATCTCTTTGGATATAAGTCAAGTTATTTTTCATGTGCCAATACACAGATACATTTATATTGGTACACACACACACAAACATAGAATTTTGTAAAATAGTATTGTATATTTTTCTGCATTTTTTCCTTCATTTCCTGATCCATATACAGATGTATAATTCATGTTCACGTGACATAACACATAAATATATTATGATTCAACTTTCATTAGAACATATTAAAATTGGCTAGAGTTTTTGAGACAGGGTTTTACTATGTATCCTAGGATTATCTCAAACTTGTCATGTAGTCCAGGCTGCCCTCAAACTTGCAATTGTTCTCAGTCAGCCTACCAAAGAATGGAATTATGGGCAAGTGTCCCCATACTCAACTGAGAAAGAAGTTTTATAATACTATATTTTCATCCATTAATATGGTATTAAGTTTTAATGTACTTATGTATTGTGTGCTTCAAAAAAGAGATATTTATAAAGATATTACATATTTTTAGGTGTACCCATTCGATAGTTTGCATTTGTTTTTGCTATTGTGGAGAGAAATTTTATCTCCATTTATATTTAAGTAGTAAATATTGCTATGGTAGATTATTATTGGGTATTTATCTACTTCTCCCTTGGAAAATTATAAATCTGTGTTTATTCAATATGATTTGTGCTATTAGGTTTTCATTATTGTAACAAAATACTTGAGACAACCTATACACGAACAAAAGGTATTTCTGTAGCTCTCAGTTTTGGAGCTGCAAGACCCTGATGCTGGTAAAGGACAGTTCTCGTAGACTCTTGGCTGTCACATAATGGTGAAGAGCAGTGGACAGAGTGGGAAACTAGGGTGGGGGCAATGTCACATCTCACACAGCAAGCCAGAGGGGTTGGGGGGGTCAGACTTGGGCTTTTACAACTCTGTCTCAAGAACTACCAAGTGACCATACAAAACTACCTTACTCCCTGCCAGTGCCAGATCCTAGGGATCTATAGGCCTCACACAAGGCTTTACCTCTTACTGGCCAGCCCATCTCTCTGGGAACCAAGTTTCTAACACAAGAAATATTGGAGGTCAAATCACACACTAGGTATAACATTTTGCAGGATTTTTTTAAAAAAAGTTTTTGTTGATTCTTTGTGAGTTTCACATCATGCATCCCAGTCCTGCCCATCTCCCTGTCCCTTCATATCTGCCACTCTTGTAACCCCCTCCAAATAGAGTGACACACACACACACACACACACACACACACACACACACAGAGAGAGAGAGAGAGAGAGAGAGAGAGAGAGAGAGAGAGAGAGAGAGAAACATCTTGTAGAAGGTGTGATATATCAGTGTGTCCCACAGTATATCTCTCTGTCCACACACCTTCAGTTGCAAATGTTTGTTGTAATGAGTCGTTGGTCTGGTTTGAGGTCTCTGGCTTCTGCAACACTATCAGTGTTGAATCCTCCCTGAGACTCCTTCCAGTTATGCTATTGTTGCCCTTTGTCATGGAGATCCTGCAGCTTGGGATCATCAGGACTGGCACTTTCATGAGTCTCAGCCATTTGCAGATGATATAGATTTTAGGGTGGACCAACTCAGAGCCCCGGATCTGGACCTGGGTGGTAGCTGAGCTGGTCAGTGGGCCAGCTCTCCCTTCTCCACACTACCAGGGCAAGCTCTCCAGCACTGTTTAGCTAGCCCATGCAATGCTGCAGGAGGCAGGGTCAGCTCTCCTGCTCGCATGCCCTCAGGGCTGACTCATCTGCACCCATGTCTCCAGAGCCAGTTCCACTGTGCTGCCCAGTTAAAGCATGGGCCCACTTTCCCAAGTGCTGCAGCCTGTGAGGGGCTAGGCCAGCTCTCTTGCTTGAATGGCCTAGGGGCTGGCTCACCAGTGCCTTTACCATCAGTGCCACCTCCACTGTGCTGCCTAGATGAGGTGCAAGGTACATCTATCCCAGCTGACATCACTACATCAATCAGCGCTAGCCCATGGAAGCCCAAGTAAGAAACTGCAGCATGTCCTCAGAAGGGTTTTTTGGTGCATTTCTCTCTACATGATGTAAGGCAGACCCATGCATGCATGTCCTTAACAAAGAGTCCTTCATCATGTGTCCTTTCACATTCTTGCTTTAGCAAAACATCCTTTCTCTTGTGTCTGCTTCAGCTAAACATTTCTGTATGTTTGCCCCAGTAAAATACCATCCAACGAACTTTCCAAAGAACCCTTGTTTCCACTTCATCTCCCAACTGTCACAGTTGGCAAGGGGTGAGGTAGCAGGAAGGGCATCACTCCTGCACCCACACCACCTCACAGCAGACAAGCAGATGAGTGACAGGGCCAGCTCTCCCAGGCCAGCTCACCTAATCTCCACCACGGGGGTCAGCTCTGCTGTGCTGTGCAGGTGAGTGGCAGGGTCTAATCTCTCACATGATGCCATAGAGATGTGACTAGCTCTCCAGAGCACTGCAGCCAGTGAGGCAGGGCCAGTTCTGCACAGCCTCTGCACATCCACGTGGTCCCCAACAGCTGCTCTGACCAGGGATGTCCCCATATTCTCTAGTGGTAATATGAGTTCCCCCTGCTGCTGTGTAGCCATGGACCCAGATATGGCCATCAGCAGCAGCTTGAGCTGGGACCTCACCATGGCCCCAGGTGGTGGGTCTGGCCACTCACAACTGGCTCCTCCTCTCCATCCTCAAGTCTCTAGTTCCATTTCTCCTTACAATACTCAAGCTGCTTTGCTTCTCTTTCTCTCCCATAGGACCACCTCATCCTCACACATGGTGGTGGCTCCTTCTCATTATGGTCACGTGGCTGGTAGGCCCCTGGGTGACATCCTTCATCTGCTCTGTGTGGTATGGCTGCAAGCAGGTGTCTATGGCCCAACCTTTGGCTAGCTCTGGAAGGGTAGGTCTGTGAGTGGCATGGTGGTCACAGGTCTCTATCTGTCTTTCTCCTCCTAAGCTGTGCTGCCTGGATTTGACTTGACTTGATTAGATTTTTATGTGTCCTAGACATAAAACAGCTTTGGCCACCATGCCAGGCATCAAGCTAGGATGAACAAGGGACTGCCATCTGCTCTACCCATGACTGAATAAGAACAACACTGCCAACAAGATGTATCTTTGCCCATTGCCAGGGGCCGGTGGTGGGGATTTTGGAGTTTTTCCAAAATGAAAGCATGCTTCCTCTTTCCATTTAGGCTGGTCATGTGACTTGCTTTGGCCAATGACTGAGAGGACATGAAATAACACAAAGCAGAAATTTCAGATTCAGTTGTTGGTTACACTTAGTCTGTCTTTGCCATCAAAGTGTCCAGGTGAGGATCCCTCCCTCAGCCTAGTTTTTAAAATACCAGGAGGTGTTGAACAGCCTGGAGCTGAGCTCTGGCTCCCAACAGGGCAGAGCCCACTGTGAAGAACCATGAAAGCCCTCATAGCTTAGCTTACATTCAAGCTACCATGTAAAGGTGCTGGAGTCACAGGTGCTACACACTGGTTGGAGACAAAGCTCTATAGTCAGCAAAAGCCATAGCCAGATTGTCAGCGTGTTTGAGCTGGTTCTCTGGCTCTCCATATGCACAGTGATGATCTGAATGGGCCCATATATGGCCTGGACAAACAGTGGACTGCAGCAGGACAGTGGACTTGGAATACCTATATTTCACAGCAAATTGCAAGCAAGCCTATTCTTTGACCCAGATGTGGGGATAACCTCTTCCACCAAAATTGCTAGCCTGTGTAAGTGCCTGTCAAGCAGGAAAGGATTAGGCTTTTGCATGTTTAAGCACACCTAACAAAACCTACAAGAGAGTGGGAGACCTAAGGAACTTCAGCTCTGGTGTACTGTTAGTAAAAATGAGTGTTTGCTCTTGTGAAACTAGAGTTTTTGGTTATGCATCAAAGTTGCAATCATGAATTTAAAAAAAAATCCACTGAGATTTTATATTTAGCTTACATTTGATTTTATATTTAGCTTACCCAATTCCCTTAGTTAAAAACAAAACCAAAAAAATAGAACAACAACAACAAAATCCGAAACAAAACTAAGTGTTCTAATATTTTTTGGGGGGAGGGGTCTTTATTTTCTGCAAAAGTGTGAACTGTGCATTGTTTTCCAGGATTTATATTGTTATTGATTTATGGCATTTTTTAATTGGCTAAAATCTCCAACACTAATTTTAAATCAGTAAATATTCCAATAATGAACTCAGTATATCTTCATTCCAAATGTGTTTGACAGTGTGCTGTGGTGCCTAGCTCAGGCTCTGAGAATCATGTGGTTTTGCACAGGCATTTACTTCTCCAGCTCATCTGTTAGTGCAGGTGTTACGGGGAGATCACAGGCTGCTGCTGCTGCTAAGAGGAGAGGAGAGGAGAGAGGAGGGGAGGAGAGGGGAGGGG